ACATTTAGTGCCTAAATAATTTCATAAGAAAATCATTAACTGAAAGTTCAAGGCAACTTACTCCTCTGATAAATCAAAAATCTTGTACTTGGCCCTGTAGGAGTGTCTGTAGATCTGGAAAACGTAAAACTTATTAACATTTTACAGCAAAAATAAACAGTTTTATTGCTGTCATGAAAACAAATTTAATTCAACAAAAATTCTTATTCCTTTAATGATAACTTTCCAATAAAAATAAATCATTTTACAGAAATTTTTTCCATATGTGACTTTATTATATGAAAATAAACATATATTTAGTGTTTCTGAACATTACACCATCAGAAGTCGTATGTGCTGTAACAACAAACAAATAATTACAGACACATAAACCAAGCATTAAACAAACAGTTTCGATACTAATTTCTTTGATACAGGGCTAAATGGGGTCAGGATCACACATGACCAAAACATTTCACAACTAGTTGCAATAGTGAATGGTTTAATTAGATGACCGAAGTGTGTTTGTTTGTTTGTAGTTAAGCACAAAGTTACACAATGGGCTATCTGTGCTCTGCTCACCAAGGGTATTGTAACCTGATTTATAGCATTGTAAGACATTTAGGACATAAAAAGGATGTATGAGAAAAGGTTGGTTGAAAATGTAAAAAATTAACAGTAAGGATTTCTATAAATACATTAAGGGTAAACAAAATGTTAGGATGGGGTAGGACTCTTGAGGGATGACAAAGGAAGGCTAGTATCTGATGATTATGTGATGGCTGGGTTATTAAATTTTGCTTTAATTCTGATCTGGTTAAGAAAACATTGGGAAGTTTAAAAAACGATAAGGCTCCTGGGCCAGGTAATATATCCCCAAGGGTTTTAAAGGAGGTTAAAGACTGGATAAATGAACCACTTACTACTATTTTTTGTTAGTCCTTGAATAGTTGGCAGGTACCAGAGGATTGGAAGTTAACTAATGTAACTCCTCTTTTCAAGGGAGGTGATAAAAATTGTTGAGATAATTATAGACCCATTAGTCTAACATCAGTTGTGGGAAAAGTTATGGAAAGTCTGTTAAAAATGCTTAGCAAAGTCATTTAACAAAGTTTAGAATTGTATTGAATAGTCAACATGGTTTCACTATGGGAAATTCTTGCCTTAAAATCTTTTGACATTCTTTGAAAAGATTACTGCTCATGTAGATGAGGGTAAGGGTGTACATTTGGTGTATCTGGACTTTCAGAAAGCATTTGATAAGATGTCACATAAAAGGCTTGTAAAAAATTAGCTCAATAGGTGTGGGGGATAAGTTAGCAAATTGGATAGAAGAGTGACTGGATGGAAGAAAGCAGAGGGTTGTTACAAATGGAGTTCAGTCAAACTGGATTAATGTCACAAGTGGGGTACCTCAGGTCTCAGTCTTAGGATCTTTGCTATTTTGATTTACATCAATGACATAGAAGAAGGGATATTTAATAAATTACTTAAAATTGCAGATGATATTAAAATCTTGGGTGTTGCTAGCTGTGAAGAGGATGCTGCTGATTTACAAAAGGATTTAGATCATTTATTTAGTTGGGCAAATAAATGGCAGATGGGTTTTAATTATAATAACTGCAAGATAATGCATATGGGTTATCATAATTTGAATTATAAGTATAATTTGGATGAGAATGACCTTAATAGTGTTATGAAGGAAAGGGATCTTGGTGTAATAGTCGATCAGTCTCTAAAGCCATCCAAGCATTGTACTGTTGCTAATGGTAGGGTAAATAGGATTTTAGGTTGTATCTATAAAAATATTGAATGCAAGTCTAAAGAGGTTATACTTTCGTTGTACAGGTCACTGGTTAGGCCATGTTTGGAATATTGTGTTCAGTCTTGGGCTCCTTACCTTAGGAAAGACATTGAATTGTTAAAAAGGGTTCAGAGAAGGGTTACTAGAATGGTGCCTGGGATGGATGAGTTGTCGTATGAGGTAAGGCTGAAATCTCTCAAATTGTTTTCTCTTGAAAAAAGAAGAGTTAGAGGAGGATCTGCTTGAGGTGTTTAAGATTGTAAATGAAGTTGATAGTGTTGATGCATCATTCTTTTTTTTTTTTGTATTTAACAATGAGAATAGTAGGACTTGTGGCCACAAATATAAATGTTGGCAAGGTAGGAGTCATCTTCAGCTAAGACATTTCATTTTTCTAACAGGATGGTTGGCCTTTGGAATGGGTTGCCTTTAGATGTTGTAGAGGCAGTAAATTTAAGTGAGTATAAGAAAAAGCTTGATAAGTATATGAACGAAAAGGTCTGGCTTTAAGATTTTTATTTTATTTTTTAATCATTTTAATTTAGTTTAGAGGATGAAAGAGCTGAGATGAACCAATAGGTTCCATGTTGTCCTAAAACGTTATGTTAAGTCTGCAGACATACTGCTGTGCCACTTGGGGGTGAGGGCCAAAGTGAATCAAACTGAAACATTACACATGAAGTTGTAACAGTAAATGGTTTAGTTATAGGGCCAAAGTGAATCAAACTAAAACATTACACATGAAGTTGTAACAGTAAATGGTTTAGTTATAGGACCAAAGTGAGTCAGTATGCTGCACAAGAGATCTCCATTCTTCAACAAGTTATACCAAGCCATGGTAAGAAAAGTTTGGCGACTTTTAACAGGTGAGAATCTATGAACAATGAGGTCAGTGACAAAAGCCATCCACATGCCCCAATAAGTATCTCCATTTGTAAAAGTGACACAAACAATGTGTACTGAAGTTGTTTCCATAACATAGGCATTCAACCATTGTTTACCTCAAGCAGCTAAAGAATGAATATTCAATATGAAAACATATGACTTAAGTTACCAAATGCAATGCTTGTAGATTTCTGTGCAATTGAACTGTTTCCTATAGCCCTCTATACTAGATAGATTATAAAAAGTATCAGGGAAGAAGGTGCATTTTGGATATAACAACCTTACGATGGAGCCTTTCAAAATTGAAACTACGTTGCAGGGCTACTGTCAAGATGAAAGATAATCAGAGAGTGCATGACCAGGTTTATTGTGTTTTTCTTAAACCAAAGTCACATCAAGCTATCTGATGTGTCCACCGAGGGGAATCGAACCCCTGATTTTAGCATTGTAAATTCATTGTCCCAATGGGAGACGTGCATGACTGGACAGGGGGACATTGACTGCAATGATGTTGGGAGGCTCCAAAATCGTTTTAATGTAAATACTCAGCCTCTGTAGTAATTACATGAACCAGGAAACAGTATGCAGTAACTGTGCAGTTATATCCCCGAGAAAAAGACTGTAGTAACTGGTTGAACCTGGAAACAGTGTGTAATAATAACTGAGTAGCTATATCACCGAGAAAAATACTGTACTAACTGGTTGAACCAGGAAACAGTGTGTAATAATAACTGAGTAGTTATATCACCGAGAAAAATACTGTAATAATTGGTTGAACCAGGAAACAGTGTGTAATAATAACTGAGTAGCTATATCCCCGAGAAAAAGACTGTAGTAATTGGCTGAATCAGGAAACAGTGTGTAATAATAACTGAGTAGTTATATCACCGAGAAAAATACTGTAATAATTGGTTGAACCAGGAAACAGTGTGTAATAATAACTGAGTAGTTATATCACCGAGAAAAATACTGTAATAATTGGTT